TGCATGAGGTGTGTAGTAATGATGACTTGATTCTTCTCCTGATGATGATTTTGGTCCACTGTCTTTCTTCTCTGTGATTGCCATTTTGCCAAATAGTTCCTTAGCTGTCTCATATTGTGTTTTCCATTCCTTGCTTGTAGTACGGAGTTCTTCATACTCATTTTTCAACTTTTCTTTTTCACTAGAGGCTTCTTTATATTTAGTTTCCAATGCTTCCTTTTCAATCTTTAGATTATTCATTTTCAATAAAAGAGTCTAAAAACATTCAATCAATGACCTTAACTATAGACTACTATTACTACAATACTAATATAAGTTTACTAACTTCGTTAGCTTCAAGCATTTTATGCTTAAGTTCATCATATTTAAGTTGAAGTCCATCACATTTAAGTTGCAATTCCTTACACTTTTCCTTCTCTTCTTCTAATTTTGACTGAAGTTTTTGTGTTGAATGCTTCTCTTCATGAAGCTCTTCAGTGAGCTTTGATGCCTACATGTAGCAAACACCTTTGTAACAATCAAGCTTGTACTTGTACAATTTCTGGAATTATAGGACAAATGCTATCAGTATTGTTATTGTAATTTGTGGCTTAGATAACATAAAATAATGATACCAGTCACATGAGTATCAACTAACTTGAGTTTGTAGCTGATCTTTTACACTTGCAAGAGATTGCCTGTGCTCTGTCACCTAGTGCATACAGCATGATGTAACAGTATAGCAATGCTTTTAGTTACAATACATTTATTATCATTTTGTGGTATAGAGATAATGATACCAGTCACATGAGTATCAACTAACCTGAGTTTGTAGTTGCTCGACTTGCCCCTTTAGTTTGTCACATTCTCTACTGTAAGCATTTACTTGAGTTACAAGGATTTGCTTTTCTTCATCTTCTGACTCATCTGCTTCTGATCCTTTACTTATTTTCCTAAGTTTCCTAGCTAATTTATTTCTTTCACTTGCTATCCTGTCTCTGTCTTCTGTTAGTCTATTTCTTTCATCAGTTAGTCTATTTCTTTCCTCAAGCAATTTTTTCTTATCGTCTTTCAATTTTTTCTTATCCTCTGTCAATCTTGAAACCTATAAAAACTGTTATTTTATTATAGCAGTACAGAAAAACGTCAAAGTATAATTCAGAAGATAAAGTGAATAATGTATTCACATACCTCTATGCTAAAATCAGAAATTTGTTGTGTTAGCTCATGAATCTTATATTTGGCATCATTTAGCTATGATGCTAAATCAGATTTATGTCGTTAATTTGATTAATGTCGTTTCTACTGATGCTTTCTATGAAAGATCACTAATTAGAATATTATCGTGAAATTATTCTAACCGTCTCCTTTAACTCTTTAATTTCACACTCCTTGGATTTGACCGTCTGCAGATGACTATCTACTGTTCCTCGTAATTGCTCAAGTTCCTTATCTTTATTCATCACTTCCTCGTATTTTACCTTTAATTGTATAACTCTTTCTTCCAGCTCTCTATCCTTTTCCTCTAGTCTTGTACTTAGTTGTTTCAATTGATCTTCTTTTCTCTCATTGAGACACTTCAACTTCTCATTCTCACCTAACACATCTCGTAATTTTTTCTCAATATCTTTCGCCTGTTTTATTACAGATTTTGAACCACATGCCTCAGTCACAAAATCATAATCCTAAACAAAAAGATAAAAGAGATTTTAATGCTACCAATCCATTACCCCTTACCTCCTCGAGAGAGGCCATGAGTACTATAGTCAGCAGACTAAGCTGTGAGAACGTCAGAACGACCCCACCCAGGACCACCCTATAGGCCACCCAAAGCTAAGGGCGGAGCTCATGAAATAAATGGTACATCCATCATAGAGTAATATCTATGATTTCATCAGGACCATCACACATTGATCATAAATTAAAATTGCAAGGTTGAGTCTTTGTGATAATGACACAAACATACCCAGTAAGTATTTATGGATTTATGGCTGGGCTGGGTGCAAAGTGCAAACACAGATATTGTGCACAAGATCAGGTTAAGGTTTTCACTACCAGAGGTCCAGAAGAAACTTTTCTGTTGAGGCAGTTCTTCTTTTTAATTATCAGTGATCAGTTGTATTCTGCCTCATTGTGCATACAACACAATTAAATTAGTTTTTATTTACATTACAGTTATCATTATGTGTTATTCTTCTCTGTGATTGCCATTTTGCCAAATAGTTCCTTAGCTGTCTCGTATTGTGTTTTCCATTCCTTGCTT